TAATTTCCTTTAAAACAATATAACAGCAATATCCTTCTAAATAAGCAATAATAGGTCTTTCTTCCTTCACACTTTCGATATCTTGTTCAGAAATAGTAATGTCGATGTTAAACCAATCTGATTCAATATGGTACTTGTATCGTGTGGTATTTCTTTAGACAAGGTATTGTCATCATAAAATCATAAAAATTATCGATTTTTATAGAACCAAAACAAGTAGATTTTAGGGACATTAATGACTGAATCCTAAGTTTCTTTTTGCTTTCATATAAATGTCGAACACAAATACTGTACTGACTCCCAGCTACTTTTTCTGAATAGAACTTTAAATAGAACTTTTTCACCCTTCTATTATCGATTATAATTACTACGTCCACACACCTACCGATAAATCGATGACTGTCAACTGGGGCAATACCACTCCGCTACGACAGGCGCCGCCGCGCGGCACCCTCGCCCCTGAGTAGGGGGCGTAAAATATCGATGAAATACATAATATATACTATAAAAAATATCTATTTGTTTATTGTTTTTTCTTATACTATACACTATTGTGAACTTAAAATATTCCATTATTAAATTTGATTGACAAAAAATGAGAGATAAACATTTATTGACTGGTATGATTTTTTCCGTATTCTATTAAAACTATTATTATATACTATAATATTTTTAAAAACTCGGAAAAAGACATTTTAAAACTTCGAAATATATCTGCTGAGTGAAAAAAGATCCACAATTTGAACTTTTACCGGGTAATTATCAACGCTACTAAATAGAATTAAGCCTAGAGTTGGTGACATCACGAGATTTTTACGTCACAGCTTGTTATTACGGTGGTTACGATCCTAGTTAAGGCGACTTTTTTTTAATCGTTTTTTTTAATTTCTACATATTTTTACATATTTATTATTACTTTTTACATATTTATTATTGATTAACACAATTTTTAGTAATGTGTTTCTTCATTTTTTTTAAATTACTTATACGCGCATTCAAAATTTCAGCTAAATCGGAAAAAAAGTTTATAATAATATAGTGTCTAATATTGTATAGATAATGAATGGTACGGAACCCTTGTGCGACTCTCACTTGGTCAATTTTTTTCTTCCGTCAAGCGAAATTGTTGTTAGAAATCAAAAACTGTTTGTTTTATAAGCTGAATATTAGGCTTTCTATATGGATACAACTGACTAACGCAAGCTGTTGCTAGGATATTCTATTAATTTTATTTTTTTTAACATTGTGAATGATCGTAAACTAAGAAGTATAAAGTGTAATTAAAACCTCTAATTTATTCCACTAATTGCGAAGTTCTGAATGAAGCTTTATAATTTTAGAATACTATTTTTCGTATACTCGCTATTTAAACCCGTGTATTTGTATATACCGGTTGTTTATTATATATTATATATTCTCCGATGGTGGCAGCACTTAGTTTTTTTTTCAAATTATATAATCATACCCTCTGATTTGTTAAAAAAAGTGGAAAATATGCAGATAGTGTGTTTTAATAGTAGGAATACTTATTATTTATTTAATTCTCACTTCTTATCTAAGATTTATATAACAATCTACCTCTTATTGTTAACAAGAATTCACCCCTTAAAAGTTTAGGCCTTTGTTTTGAAACACCCTGTATAAACTTTGCTATACACTTAAATTAGGACACGAATAAAAGAGAACAACATGCCCTAAAACCTCCATTTGAGCTGCATCGATGCACAGTAGCAGCCCCAAATGATCGATGGGGGCCGCAATTCCTAAATTCTCGATCTCACAAGTGGAAGTTGTTCTAGCTTAATAAAAAAGAGACATACATCTTCCTGTCATCGGAATCGTTGGTCATAAAACGTCCCGACGGTGTAGTTGACAAAAATCGACACAAAAGAGACAATGGCAACGACAGAAAGGCTCGAAACCCTGAAAAGTACGGCATTCGGGGCGTTGGAGGTGTGTGGGGTCTCCGACGTAGGGAGGGTTCAGGAAATAGGTCTAAAATGAACTATTAAGTACGCAGAGCTTGATTCTTGATTTTGTACTTTTGTTGCGTTAGAAAACAAACGTTGGAATTGTATCGAAGAGCCTTGATATTAAGTATAGGTAAGGGATTAGTATTTTTCAAACTAACAGTGATTTCTTATGTCGTACACTCTGTTTTTTTTTTCTCAGGTAAGATTTCAACAGACGATGACAGAAGAAAAGCAGATGACGTCCCATACCAATCTATTTATTTTACTAAAAAAAGTTTCTAATATTTTTTAAGTTAACTATGGATGGGTTTAAATATAAATTCGTCATGCGTCGTCTGTTGTTGTTTTTAACCAGTTTTATTGGTTTATTTCAAAAATGACAGATCACATTTCAATTTTATTGGTTTGACGGAACGATGAACGTCAAACGGACGCCGATGCGTATGAACTTTTGGTATGAACTCGCCTTTAGATTTTTGAGGCTTGTCAAATTTTTGCCAAATTAAAGGTTATAATTTTGTGTCAACTTATGTCAAATATCTGCGTTGTGGAAGATGATGCATTTTGATTCGTATTATTACGTGTGTTTTCTGTCTTTTAAAGTCAAGTGGAGGAAAAATCGAGGGAAAATTATGTAGGCCCAGAGCACAGTTTATAGTTAATGCTCGCTGCCCGGGCAGAAACTCTTATACACCAATAAAGTTACCATCAACTGCTGTCCTCCATTTGCGAATTTCAAAGCAGGAAAGGGTTCTGAGAGGAGCTGTGCGCGATAGCCTTGTGCCTCCATATGGCGCGGAACAGTTCTGAACTTTATGACTCAATTGAATGGAGGGAGAGTATCGCGTTCTTGAACAGTTCAGAGCTGCACAACTGCGTGAATGGAGGACAGTAATATATAGATAATATTTTCCGGCTGTTTTATAGTAGGTATTTCTAACCTGGGTGCCACTCCACTAAGAGATGGAATGTTTGGTTCGGTTCCACTAACTGGACCAGACCTGTTCACTTTTACAAGTGGAGGTAAACTTAAAGCAGAACTCAAGAACTTTGAATATTCTATCCATAACCTGGGATGGAAATCCTCCAACCGTCTAAGACACTCAAAGAAATTTCTTAGGATTCACGACCGAGAAAAATCAAAGATTTTCCTTGATTTAAGTAAAAAAAAATTCGGATTGTCACGGATTTTTAAAAGGACACTGTCTCCTCAATAAAGACTTTAGTAGATTGAAGCTAAGAAACAACGGCGAATGCATATTCTGTGGAGAATCACCATAGCCATTAGTGGCATAAACTTTGGTACAATTGATATTGGAGATGGAGAACTACCACATGTAAAACAGTCTCAGATACTGGCTTTTGTCAAAGCTCTGAGAGTGTATGATGAGTTTTAACTCTAGAAAGGGGGACACAAAAGATCTATAAGGTCGCGGTGATTAATTTATCCCTTACCATACAATCTACATTGACTTGGTACAGTTTATTGAATAAAAAGCTAAGGAAGAGAAGTCATTCTAATTTTTTTTTAAATTTTGAAAACTACAGAATTTTTTTTTAAGAAAAAAAAACTTATAGACGTGTTTCTCATTAAGACTCACCCTGTATATGTGATGTAAAGTAATCTATTCAATCGTGAAATTCATTTAAAATTAACTAATTATTCTTATAAAAACTTTCGAGATTTCTAGTATGCAGGTGTCTAGTATTCATATACAGGGTATTCTTCCCGTTTGAAATCCTAGGTTTTTACATTTTCTGTTGTGGAATATGACAGTTTAAAAATGTTTTGTTAATATACCAGGATGAGTGAAACATATTGTCAAACTAAAGATGTAGTTTTTTTTAAAATGCAATATTTTTTCATTGGGGTTTCTATCAAAATATTATTTGAATGTACCTGACTGTCATAATTTTAACCATCAGTGTTTTTTAAATGAATTATTTACATCAACCATTTCAAATAGATCACCCTGGTTGCCATATTATAAATGAATATCGTTTATATGTAACTCTATGTTTTGTTAATAATTTTTTGTGCCTAAAATACGTATTATTTTTTGAGTAATTTTTAAAAATGTATTTTTACTTTACAGTAGACGTCAACTTATCTGTATCTTTATATTTAGCATCCATTTGAAATATTTTTTTATATACTTTTTAAGCTTCATATTTTTGAGAATAAATTATAATCTTTTTGTGAAACTTAGAAATAAAACATTTAAAATTTGACTAAAATATTTGAAAACTGATAGGAAATTAATATAAACTTTTTATACAGGGTGAGTTTTAAATAAGTGCACCTATTTTCAGGGCTGGTAGATTTCAATAAAAGAAACATATTTTCTCTTTACCGTTTTTTATATAAATCCAAAATAACGAGTTATTTTACTTTGAACATTTCCGAAAACAAAATATTTTTTGCTTAAATTTTGAGAACCACTGGATCTTTTCTGGGTTTTCTTACTTGTAAATTTAATCTACTACCTATGTGGCCGTATTATCAAGAAATTAATTTTTTTAATTAAAAACTAAAAAAAAATCTAAAATTTAAAAAAAAAATTGCGAAAAACCTCATAATCGTGTTCGGGGGTTGAACTATACTACCCCTAAAAATATTGGCAATTATTTAATGCTCACCCTGTATGGATATTATTTTTACACACCCTGTATATGAATAAGGAATTGAAAATAAAACTAAAATTTTCATAGTATATTATTATAGAATTTATTAATACATTTATATACAGTTTTATAAACACCTAAACAGATAGTTAAGTTTCAATATTTCACTATATACATACGATTTTAAAATCGTTTCAATTTACAATTACTATTTTTACATTGAACTAATAAGGCTACTTAAATAAAATACTATGTTTTACCTAATTGCAACTACGTAATAAACTTTATAATTACACACAGAACACTATAAGTTTGATACAGATACTATTTATATATTTTTTCCATTTAAATGCATATAACTAAAGCTTTTAAAATAATTAGTCTAAATTTAGTTTAAAAAGTCTTATTTTTTCAGACTTAAATACATATATAAGAACTTTTCGATAAAATAGATTTTTTTATTAAGATCAAGGCAATCGGTTCCAAGATGAAGGCAATATTTAAATCACAAAATTTCTTGCGTAAATTAGTGTAGGCACTTTCTCGATATGATAAGGTGGACATCAGTAACATGATTAAAGATATAAGTATGTTATACAGTAAAGTACTATAGTATCTAAAAAAATGATTTACTATTTGCATTTTACTAATATTTTTTTTGTTAATGTTTTAACTATTGGAGATAAAATCGTTATAGGGTTAGGAACTATACATATAATGAAGAAATATGAATTAAAATTAATAACAATCAAAGTACTATTATTCTTAGAATTTGTACATACTACGAGTATATCTTTCATTAATTTCATTTTTTCTCTCTATAAATACATTTTTTTGCTCGATGAATTGTGAGTTAATTTTTAGAAACACTAACATACTTATATCTCAGAACAATCAAAGTAAAGAAATAATTTTAGTGTACTCGACTGGAGCACATTTCCATAGCTCCGAAGTATGGGTATCCAGATTTGGCTTCGCTGGGAGAGTGGGCCCCATAATGTGTACCGCCGGTGAACAAACTGAAACAATAAGAAAACAAATTTAATATATTTATTCTTTGATTTTTCTTTATGAGGATGGTTTAATTTACACTGTCTAAAAAGATCCAATCACTACTAGAATGTGATCTTTTAGCCAATGAACGAAATGACATGTTAGAAAACTGCAAATTCCAAATTTCTATAAAGGGAACCAGGGTGATAATTCCGTTTACATTGTTCGAATCGTCCCTTGGATCCTTTTACATTTTATCAATTTTATGGATGTGTTGTTGATATTGTGTATGTTTCATAGTTGTTTTGATGGTTTTTTGTCTCTTAAGAATAGAAAAAATACTATAATAAGTTTTGAAAGGAGTGAAAGATCCACGTGACTATTACAGCAAGCACTGGAGCACTGAAGCAAAGATAACCTTTTTTTTTACTATGCTCTCTTTTAAATATTAAGAACCACATTTTTGAAGTTTGGTTCCATCCAAAAACCTTATGATTGGCTATTTATTCAAAACGAACTATCAGCAAAAAGTAATTTAAAGGGTGGTAGATTGGACATCAATAGAACAAATTTCCTATTTGCCATTTTATAAATAAATTGAAAATAATCAAATTACTAAACTTTGAAAAAAAAAATATCGAAAACCAGAGATATTTTTTATGGTTACTTATTTTCACAGGATGTGTTTTCTTAAATTAGATTCCACCTTTTAGAATCCTCATATGGATTTTGGCCAAGAACTAACATTTAGAATAATTAAATAGAATGAAAAATGAGTTAGTCTTTTGCTTACTATTATCAAATGATTCATAGTTCAATTCATAGGTTAAATAGAGTATGGTTGAGGGATGATTATTTTATAACAATCAGGTCTAAATTCATTTTATTCTAAAAGAAAGCGAAGTTCCACAAAGAAGCAGTACTACAGAGTATAATAATTCAATGAGGTATTAACATTAAGGTTTTAATCTACGACAATGTCATTATGACACATTTAACATTGTTATTTGGATGATACATTATATGGTCATTATGGCTTTCATAATAGCACTAGTGAGTGCTATTATAAATTCATAATAACACGCAAATTTTAAAATAAGAAACAAGCAAAAAAGGTACCTAAATACATTTATTTATTGTAAACATTAATTATAATATCAGTACAATTGGTTAAATTAATTCCAGACGATGACAGGTGAGTTGAATTTTTAGAAAGTAAATTTATTTCCTGAGTGCTTGAACTTGTTTAAGAACCATCATTGCCAGAAATGTTAGCCAAAATATTATATGACACTTTTTTTCTTATTTTCTTTGGAATTTTCTATATAGCTCTCTGCCACTGTGTTAGAGCGCCAACCACCATGTCTTTTAACAGTTAATAAATTCACTCCTGAATCTGCAAGCAACGAATGTCCAGTGTATTGTTGTGGATTTGGAAGACTTAGGAACAATGCTATTTTATACTGCATTTTCCCTAAAGTATTAATGCCAACGGGTTGCTTAACACATTTTCCATTTCTGTACCCCACAAAAAATCGAGTATGTTCTCTGTTGCTTGGCCGCATAGCTATATATCTTCGAACCATTTCCACAATATTTATTCCTTCAACATTCCCTTTCGTTATAAAAAAATCTCGTGATATCTTTGTTTTCGTAAATGGAATAATGATATGAATGCATTGTCCTTCATCTTTAACATTTTGCAGCTGCAGATTTGTCAACTCGATACGCCGGCAGGCTCCCGCAAGTCCCACTATCAATGAAACTTTTGTCAGGAAATAAGTTTTATCATTAGCTTCCAACAAAAAACGAGTTATGTCTTCTTTTCTTAAAATTCTCGAATTTTTTGACCGAAATCCGTCCGATTTTCTTTTTAGAAATGCAATTAAATGGACGTGTTTACTAATATCTGTATTTTTCTTCACTGATATAACTAAACGTAGCATGGAATAATATACCCAAAGTGATGAAGCCTCCCTATATTTTGAAAGATGTTCAAAATATGCCAAGAGAACCTTTTCGTTACTACTATTCTTGATTCCTTTCTCTTTACACCAATCTTCAAGATTTACATAGGCTTGCTCGTACGTTTGTCTTGATTTTTCGGGAAGTAGGGAATCGTCAACGTTTTGCGCAATGCCTTCAATATCCGAAGGGACACTTTCAGAATCAGAATCACCCATATTAATATTATTTTTTGCTTTTTGCTAAAACTGAACGTTTAACACAAAATTGAACATCAATAATTGAGTTGTCAAAGTCAAAATGGAAACAATCAACAAGCACGGTTACTACGGTGTCGACTAATATGGGCACCTGATAATTTTGAATTTTAATTTTTATGAGGATATCTCTGATATTTAAATTAAATCAAATCTCTTTGGATCGTCCTTCGTGTCGCATCGTAGATTAAATTTTGAATGATAAACGTTCGATACGAACTTTTTAATGAAATTGATGATGTTCGTATCATTAATAACTATTAATATATTCGTATTTAAAATTATGTTATTTATAGTTAAAATTTATGAAATAGGATTCAAGCTGTTTTCGTTTAAACATAATAAAATTTTGACATAAATAATTATTGTTTTTGTATAGGAAAATATGGGGTATTTTTATTAAAGCCTAAATTATTAAAACTTTGATCGTTTTTTAATCTGCCTGGCCTCGATTTGGCATTTTGTAAAATGACTGAAAACAGACAGTCTATTTGCAGAAATGTACAGAAAATATCATCATTGTTTAATAAGCCTAATTTTGATTAGGCTTTTTGTAAAGTGACTGAAAATAGATAGGCTTTTTGTAAAAATTCCTTCTTTTTTGTAAAAAACCGGCGTTTTATAATATGCTTAGTCTTTTTGAAAAAAGCCGGATTTTTCTATACACCTGCGACACGTGCAGTAGTTTACTAAAGTATGTATGTATGTCCGGTTTTACAGCGTCCTTCGTCGCCCTCCGGTCTCCATGCGCCACCTCCGTCTATTGTCTCAATGTCCTGGTAGTAGGTTCCTTTCCGACATGGCTCTGTCTATTCCTTGATTCAGAGTTTAGGTCGGCCTCGTTTATGTCTGTCTGTAGGGGTCCACTGCAACACTTGCTTTGGTATTCTATCGTCAGCCATTCGTTGTACATGGCCGTACCACTGCAGTTGTTTTTCTTGTATATCTTGTACAATGTTACCCTCCACCTTCATTTGTTCACGTATTCTCTCGTTCTTAATTCTTTCTAAACGAGAGATTCGGGCTGATCTTCGCCAGAAGTCCATTTCGGTCGACAACAACTTCTTTTTATGTTTTTCGCTTAACTGCCATACCTCAGAGCCATATAACATTACGCTTTTCAGAATCGCGTTATAAATCAGTTTTTTTCTGTGATCCGAGATATCCCTAGACCAAAGCACCGAGTTCAGCGGTCCTGTGACCTTTCTGCCATTCACAGTTTACTAAAGACTTCCTAAAATACTCGAAATGGATAGTTGAGTACTGAATAAGTTGTGTTATTGATCCCCAGACGGTGGTATTGAACTTGAGTTTCAAAATAGCAAATACCTTGAAAACAAGGATGTTGACAATAATTCATATGGAATAAAACCAACGGAAGAACGAACCAACGGAGTTTTTTTCTTTCTCTTTTTTCTCAGTACCGGCGAGCAGCAACGAAAAACGAGAACCGAACCCGGCCCGAGACCGCCGGTACCACTCCGGGTACGTACCAATTTCCAGTGATTACGGAGCGATAGGCCGCAATTAATCAATGGCAAATAAATAATAATTCATTCCGGTAGCTCGAGAAGCGGTTTTTAGCGGTAAGTAGAGAGCGGTACCGGCGCCCATTAAGATGGTACCGTGTAATTTTGTTTAGCACGATTTTCATTGATTGCGTACCGTAGTAGTGGCCGCCGCTATCGGGAGAAAGAATTTATTTCAATGACACGCCTGTGATGGGTTGCGCGGCGCGTCCCAGCCAGAGATCGACTTTTTAAATGATTGAGATGCGTTTTGATCAAACAGGTATTAACAAATTGAGTTATTCCAGTACAGATATAGATGTAGGTTAGGTTGTTGGGATTTGGTATCCTGTTCAAACAGGATCCCGAACATCTCATTCAAATCTCCATCCTCTTATTCTTTCTTTGCGTTAAAGCACTTCCAGTTCCTTGCAAAGTTACCGATGTCGCTGATGTTGGCTTCCCCTGCTGCTTCCTCTAGTCCCTCCAGAAAACCGAGCTCTAATTTTTAAAACCGTCGGTTTTCCAGTACCGGACAGTGGCACAGCAAGTGCTCTATGGTTTCTTCTTCCCCTCCGCATTCTCAGTAGTAGTCGTCCTTGGAAATTTTCCATTTCACGAGGTTTACCCCCGTGGGGCAGTTGACGCCGTTTTTTGAGTGAAACTTCTTTACGCGCGTTTGGAGTAAAAATTCAAGGTCACACGCGGCATTGAATGACGGTCGCGAGACGCATGCGGGACAGCCGTGACGCGCGAGCTAGCAAGAGGAAAAGTGATAGCGGCAGGCCGGTGTCAAAATGGTCTTTGGCCTCACACCAATTTGACACCGGACATGAATTTAATTTTGATGATGTTTTGGTTCTCGAGAGAGAACCAAACTGGTATAAACGCAACATAGGCGAAATGATTCATATTAATTTGAACAAAACGGTCAACATGAGGTCTGATACCGAGGGTCTCAGTGTAATATATAGCAACATTTTAAATAAGTACAAAAAAAATAATTAAAGAAGAAAGGTTTAACCATGCAGGGTTTTTCTTGTTTTTTTTTGGAGTATGTTGGGGGTGCTTTGGGGTGTGAACATTTTGTGTGTCTTTCTTTAAAGATCTCTTACTTTTTCAGTCGCGATTGTGTGTTTGTCGCCTTGTGCAGAGTTATAGTTATGGCAATATTGTCAGTATTGATATTGCCATATTGAAGTTTTGTGGTTGTTTTATCTACACCTGTTAATTATTTTTGTTTATTAAATTATTTTTGTTTTATAAACGCATTTTTTTGCTTCTTTTATATTATGT